TCCCAATCTTTAACATTTTGCTCAGCTCACTCTAGTCGACCGACACTTCAGACAGATCCTCAACTGGCCTATTGGAAGGCATTCATGAATACGAGGATCCATATTATCCTCAGCTGGGCCGGGCTGTGGCTTGATCTGACTGATCGCCATTGCCTGTCGGGGAATGCTGCGTGAGATGTATTTCCCTTGGCACGCCATTTGCACTGCTTTTACATAACAGTCACGAGATACACACTGAGATCCGCTAGCTTCCCCTATCCCCATCGGGGTAGGGAATTTCATCTTCAGATGGTATATCGAAGTGACCGCCTTGAAGTTTCTCAGCAGAGGTCGCCCCAAGATACCATTAAAAGCAGATGGGCAATCTACTACCAAGAATTCAGTTACCTTGGTCACCTCGTCAAAGTCACCCAATGTGACTGGAAGTGAGATCGTTCCTTTGGGGATCAAGTGGTCCTCTATAAAATCGCATAGGGGGATCGAGGCGGGCTTTAGGTCTACCTCGTCTAAATTCATTCTCACGAAAGCTGCCTGGAACAGAATGTTCACAACACTTCCGTTGTCCACCAACATTCTGTGGACGTTGTAACCCCCTATCAAGGGCGTGATCATGAGAGCGTCATCGTAGGGATGATGTAATTGAACTGCATCCTTTTCAAATAAGGTCATTTCCTCCTCCTTGCGAACCTTTGGTGGTTGTCGCGTCATGCTCATCACATTAATGGGGTCGTGATAGGCCGCGCGAGCATATCTTTCCTGGGCACCTCGCGAGTTACCTGCGAGGTACGGTCCCCCAAAGATCATTCTGACGTTGTAGATACCCTTGCGATCACAACGCTTCTTTCCTGGTTCCCCTTGATTTTTCTCCTGTGCGGGAGTGGAATCATCAATATACTCTTTGAAATGTCCCTGCTTGATGAGGTCTTTGATTGCCTGTTTGAGAGCTCGACACTCATCTGTGTGATGCCCATTATCCCGATGAAAGTGACAATATTTTTTACTGTTTCTAGCTGATGGGGGATTTTTCATGGGCTCTAGCTCTTCGAGCAGGCTGGCTTCTTCTGACTTGTCAAGAATAGCCGATACAAACACATTCAAAGGCGTATACTAATTTCTATCGCAATCATGATGAGGAACTAGAGCATAAGACTTTTTGAGCTCATATCGCTGTTTCTTTCCTTTTTGTTGATCGTCATTAACCTATCTACGATCAACTCTCCTACTTTCCCCCCAACCAGGTGCACTGCCTGAAGCGTCGGGGTCACGGCAATGGAGCGCCGCCATAGAGTTTTCAATACAGAGGTACTTCTCTGCAAGGTTATAGAAGCAGGTGAGGGAAACATCATCCTCGGCCTGTAACTCTTTCCACAGATCGGTCTGTGGGCGAACTCCCGCTATGATGAGAGTTCGAACAAACTCTTCGAGAGTGTGAGCTACCTTATTAAGCTCTCTGTGGAATCGGTCGATGTAAGACTGGAGGGATTCATCCCTCTCTTGCCTTATGTTGCTAAGGTAGTTCAAAGGCATTGAGAACTTTCGGTTCGCTTGGAAGTGCCTTAGGAACGTCGCGCTCATCTGAGGCCACGAGCTGATCAATCCCGCTAGGAGCCACCTGAACCACCGTTTGGCAAGAGAGGTTAGAGTTACTACTAAACAATGGCATTTCGCCAAATCTAAAACCTAGTGAAGTTCTATCAGGTCGTTGAATTCATACAAGTGATCTTGCGGATCAGAATTTCCATCGAACGCCTACATATCGAGCATTCTAAATCTTGATAGGAGAGGGGCGACCAATGCTACCGGAGAAAATAGCGACGCTACTGCGACCTGCCCTTGCTTGTTTTGCTGAGCTTTTAACTGATCTAGAGCTCGCTGCAGCTTCTCAATATGAGGCAACAGAACTAATTGGGGATTGTTTTCCCCCATACGAGTTCGACCCTCACGATTGTGGTTGAGGAAAGTTCGAAGGTCAAATTCCTCTTCGCCTCGGCTGGCAGTTCTGGTCGCCCTTGACACACGCTAGCTAGAGTCGTGTGATGGTGACAAATGATACAGGGAATTTTCACGACCTCCGCGGTGATACAAACCGCCCCGCGAAGTGTGGGAACCTCCCGCATGATGATGACCAAGATCGTTTTTTCTGGCGGTGATGAGAATCGCCCCGCCCAGCATTTCTATGGGGGCGTTCATGCGACGTGGCATGACGGCTTGAGATGTGAGCTTTTACCGAGCCTTAACGGCACGGGTATTCTACCCGGGACAAGGTCGGTGTTTGCCGCCCTTTGGAGCCCTTAGGCATATTGTTCGCCACTTGCTTACCCTTCCTTCGGTGCCCTACAGTGCGCGTGGCTTGGGCTATCGCCCTTCTCTGCGCTTTCACGTGACCTGCAGGAGTTTTTTGTGGTTGCACCGCCCCAGCTAATTCGGGTGGCACGCCCTAGTCCAAACGGTCCAACCTTTGGTTGACTGTTTGGAGAGTATTGTTGAACCTCTCCAGATAGCTCATGATGGTAGGGTCAAGTTGTGAACTTAAAGGGATATCCCCGCAGCATTTTGTGGAACTGAGGGCACCTCGGGAGAAGTTTCCTCTTGGGCTTGGGGGATCTCCTCAGCATCATGATTGGTTCGCTCAGGTTGAAATCGGTGAGCCATTTGCTGTTGTAGGACCAGTTAGTCAAAGATTCTCCTGATGAAGGACGATTACTAAATCAGGCCCTCCTTCTAACGTCAAATTGCTGATGCGTGATTTTGGCACCAACTAAACGCACGTGTGAAATGCTGAGCTGGCTCAGAAGACACACGTGAATGGGGGATCGAGAAAGTAAATGGTGGCAAGACAATGTTTAAAGTGATTCGGATGCTTAAACAAGCAAATCCTACATCCACTGTTATTGTATTTATATTTGAAAGGTCAGGTCGCGGCTTAGCAAGCTGACTCTAGAATGTTGAGAGTACAAATGGGAGAGAGAGAGAGAGAGAGAGAGCTATTATAGAGCGAACTTATCTAATCAATAGTAAAATGAGTTCATCCCCCAAATGGGAGAGAAGCTCTCTATTTATAGTGGGATACATTGAGATAATCATTACTGAATCCGTAAAAAGGGGTCAGGTACCGTGCAAATCCTCCTTTGCATCTCGTTATTCACCTACTCGCGTGATCTCCTTACTTTATGCAGGGATTGGACACCTGGGCGACCTCCAGCCTTTCGTCAGATTGGCGCGCACCTACTACATTGGCAGGAGCATGCTGCTCACGCCAGCATGCGATGTGGCAGCGTCTGAATGGCTATAAGATCTACCTAGACTCTAACCACTTGCGCTGAGTGGGCTCTACACCAGCCCAACTTTTCCAGGCATAACAATATTCAAGGACAATCTTGAATTCATAGAAAAGTTCAACAATGCAGGGAATCAGAGTCACAAGCTAGGCATCAATAAGTTTGCAGACTTGACCATGGAAGAATTCAAAGCTACACTACCGGATACAAGTCTACCCAACCAAAGTCATCCAAAACGGTATCACCCTTCAGGTACAACGATACAGAGGACGTTTCATCTAGCTTGAACTGGATAGACGAAGGAGCTGTTACTGACGTAAAGAACCAACGGCAATGTGGTAAGGGAATCACCATATTATCGCTTGTATCATCATATTATTAAGTTATAACTAGTTGTCTGACTTGTTATTATTTCGATTTTAGGTTGCTGCTGGGCATTTTCGGCAGTGGCAGCTGTAGAAGGTATTACTTTTATCAAAACTAAAAATTCAGTCTCACTGTCCGAGCAACAACTAGTGGATTGTGACAGAAATGGCAACGGCGGTTGCAGTGGTGGTGATATGAAGAATGCCTTCAAATACATTATAGAAAACAAAGGTCTTGCAAGTGACACAGATTACCCATATCAGGGAATAGATGGAATCTGTGAAAAAGAGAAGGAAGAGGACCCTGAAGCCAAAATTACAAGCTATGGAGTTTTACCTCCAAATGATGAAAGTTCCTTATTGAAGGCTGTGGCCCAACAGCCAGTTTCAGTTTCTGTTGATTCAAGCCAATTTCAATTCTACAAAAGTGGGGTTTTCAAAGCGCAATGTGGAACCAATCTGGACCACGGTGTTACTGTAGTCGGATATGGGACGAGCGAAGAAGGTGACAAGTACTGGTTGGTTAAGAACTCCTGGGGCCAGGATTGGGGTGAGAGTGGCTACATCAGGATGCTCAGAGATTTTGATGCTCCTGAAAGCATCTGTGGCATTGCCATGGACGCTTCTTATCCAGTTATTTGATTAATATCTAAATGCTTCTGCTTAAATTTCTGCATTCCTATTCCATGTTTAAGCGAGTGTTTTATTGTATGTGAAATTCCAGAGCTATAGCTTGTAGCCGAGGGGATATCATTAGGTATGAAAATAAGTTTTTCCTTTTATTTACAATTAAACGGATTATAATTATCGAGCCAATTTCAGAGAGCAGATAATTTGCGTTACTTACCTTTACTATGTGTTGAAAAATTCAGGTGAGAATCAATGATATGACATGGTATCATTCTCATGCCATCTGGTTGTCAAACTTAAAATCAATACTTAATACCAAGAAAACTACACCCTTTCTGACTCTACAAGTTTCCCTTCCTTCATTTTTGGTCTCATTCAGCCCCCACATATATTTCTCTCTTTCTTCTTCAATTTTGTCTGCCTAATTAATACACATAAAAATCAAATTCGAAATACAGCATTTTCTAATTTTCTTGTCAAGATTTAAATAATAAATTTAAAAAAAAAAAAAAAAGGCATAAACTGCCAGTTAAATAACAATTTCTCTCATTTTTAAAATTTATTTAGACGGCTTAAAAAGGCTTTTAAATTATAAAATACTACAAAAAGAAGAAATTTTCTACTTATTAGAGTCTTCTTAGAGAAAGAGAAGACTCACACAGGTTTAGAGAACGTTGAGTGCTCAGACAAACAGATTTTTAGCAGTTCAAAGATGTTTTTAGGTGAAAATTTATGGTTTTAATAAGTACACTCCATCTCAGGCTATAATGTTTCACATGCAATCAATAAATATAAAAACAAACAAAATTGAGACAGTGCCTGACTCATGGAATTGGGTTCTGAGGTAGACAGTATGACTACTGTCAATAAAATAGAATCACTAACCACTCTCAGACCCAACCCAACTGCAGGCAGTGTCTTTCAGTATACCTCTTAACTTCATCACCTCCCTAAGTTCAGTTACACTATCCCATTTCCCAGCAGCTGCAAAAGTATTGGATAGTGCAACATATGCCCCTGGCCTGTCATTAGCATTTAATTTAAAGATTTCATTGGCAGCTATCTTTGCCATCTCGATGTCACCATGCAGCCTACATGAACTAAGCAGAGCTACCCAAACATCAGAATTAGGTTTCTCGGGCATTTTAAGTACAATCTCCAATGCCAGTTCCAGACTCCCTGCGCGTCCCAAGAGATCGACTATGCAAGCATAATGCTCCATCTTTGGTTTCATTGAATAATCTCTCTCCATGCTCTCAAAGATCTCTCGACCTTTGGCGACTAAGCCGGCATGTCCACAGGCTGAGAGAGCACCAAGGAAGGTGACATAATTAGGTTCCACAGAACATTCTTGCATCCTACAAAAAAGTTCCAGTGCTTCATTGGGGTTCCCATTCTTCCCATAACCATCAATCATAGAAGTCCATGTAAAAACATTCTTTTCCGGCATGTGATCGAAAATTCTCCGTGCATCCTCACTTCTTCCACATTTTGCATACATATCAACAAGAGCACTACCCATTTTTACATGCTCAAAGAACTCAGTCTTCATAAGTTGACTTTGAACCTGTTGACCAAATTCGAACTCAGTCAATACGGAGCAAGCCCCAATTTCACTAGCAAAAGTTGAAATATTTGGCTGAAAACCAAACCTTTGCATATCAACGTAAAACTTAAGTGCTTTCTTAGCAGTATCAATCGATTTGCTATAACCTTCGATCATAGCATTGTAGACAACAATATCTTTTTCCACAGTTTTACTAAAAACCTCTTCAGCTTTTTCTACAAACCCTTGATTCATATACCCCGAAATCATCGATGTAGAACAAATAACATCTTTCTCTAACAACATATCAAACACAGTCCTTGCGTAACCAACCTTCCCATTCTTCACATACGAGTCAACAAGTGCCGTATAAAGCACATCGTCAGCTGCAATATCACATTTCACTATCTGGGCATGCACCATTCTCCCTAAACTACGGGGCAACAGCACATTACTGCCGCAACAAGTGGACGCCTTTAGAAGCATGGAAAGCGTATATCCATCCGGCCTTTCACCAGAAGAAAACAAACTCCGCACTAAACCAAACGATTCTTGAATCTTCCCATGTTTTATGTACCCACCAATCATATAATTATACGCTGATAAAGTTTGTTGAGGCAATTCATCAAACAGTTGACTTGCGTAATCTAGAACTCCGCATTTTAAGTACAAAATTAATAGCTTGATGGAGATATTGGTATTGGGTCTAAACCCAGATTTAATTATATAAGTGTGGATCTTTCGGCCATAAACTGGGGTATCTGAATTGATGTAGTGTTGAAGAGTTGAAGACAATGAGGTGGCAGTTGATAGGTAAGAGAGATAATCAAATTCTTGCGGTGTTGGCGGGAAAGTCTGGTTTGATGGGAACAAAGGGTTTTGATTGTTATGGGTTGATGAGAAATTGGAGGGTCTGATTCTGGGTAGTTTTGGCATTTTTCATCTTTTCATTTGATGGGTACCAAACTTATTAGAGTTTCAGGCGGTGAATTGCTTCAAACTTGTTAAATTCCAATTCTTCATTAGTTTGCTAAATGGTTTTTTCTGCTACAAACTTCTCCTTTTTAGTTCAGATAATTCACAGTTTGGGCCTACTGGGTTCGCTTTCAAAAAAGCCCAAAAACTGGTATTCGCGGAATGCTACAAGTTGACCCATTTTGGCCCAAACATGAATTTCTTAGGCCTTTGAGAAGTTAAAGCCACTTATTATTTAGCGCGATGCAATGCAAAGATGTAGTAATAAAGCCGAGGCAAGGCACAGAATTGGAAGAGTAATGTTTTGATCAACTTTTGTTGTATGATTTTTTTACTCTAATGTCATTTGTGGAATGAGATTCCCCCTCCACTCCCCACTTTCTACTATCATTTTCTTATAAAGCAAACAATGCACGCATGAGAAAGAGAAACTTTCGTCTTTATGGGTATTGGAAAACAACTTCCATTTCTTGTTCTTCTCAGTGGAACTTTCACTTTTCTTCTCCATCAAGTGTTGTGTGGTCACTACATTAATTATTTTTTAATTATATATGCTTAAACTATGCATTAATATAAGGGTTTGTTTTACATTTTCAACTTATCAATGTCGCCAAGGTTTGTTTAACTGTCTTAATTTTCTTTTTCTCCACTGCGGGGACAAATTGGATTTCATTTCCCTTCACACCACCAAACACAAAACAAAATTTCACAACTTACTACAATTAAATATTATGTTAATGTTGAATACAATTAATTCTGAAATTGCCTTTGAGATATTAAAAGAGTAAATGATACTATTACAGTATTACTTTTGAGTATGATTGCATAATATAAAAATATATAATAAATTATTAAAAACTTTTGCAATGAAATTATTTAATATGTTTTTGTATGTGAGAAAGGGTGGGGTGGATTGTGTGACTAAGAAACAAAGAGTAGTAATGATGCTAAGTATCTACAAATTAATAATAAAAGATTATTAATCCTTCACCATATAATTTACCCTTTGTTTTTCAAACCCTAGTAATTGATGGAATATAATGTATACTAAAGTGGCTTTGTTGGCGTGCAATGCCAACGAATTATTCTGTGCGCAACTATGAACTATGTGGCAAGAAAACACATACAAGTAATGAAACAATCCAGAGTAATATGAAACCAAAACAAGTAAACACATTCAAGTAAAGAGAAAGAATAATACGTACGATTTATTCTGATTTACCTAATTAATAGGCTACGTTCAGCAGAGTCAATATAATAAAAATATTGTCTCACCTCTCTCGTTACAATGAATGTATTTACCTTATGATTTGTTATCACACTCATACAAGGGAATAATAAGTTTATATATATACTAGGTTTAAAGAGAAAAATCTAATATTATAAGAATCTCTTTTCTTAAGTTCAGACCCAATTATAAATTAATTACTTAAAGAAATCATTCAACAACTTTTCATGAAATAGGTACAAACTACCTACGAGCTTAAGGAAGGGACTCTCGAATGCATCTACGTGACCTCTTATTGTTAAAGTAGTCGACAACTCCAACAATTAACACATGTTAATAATTTATTATTTTTAAAAATAAATAACGTATTTAAGAATCTTAAGAAAGGGAAATTTTTGTTAGGTGAACAAATTAGATGTGAATCTATGGGATCCTGCCTACTCAATGATCTAAGGCTGTTTCTTCTTTTCTTTTTACTTTCTAAAGATATCATTTGCAAAGCAAAAGGAAATTATATTATTCAAACAATTTAATCAAAGATAATCTTAATAAAGATGTGCAAATTCCTAAGCAAACATTGATCATTGCTTTTATGCATCGATTTTAAAATTGGATTTTGTAAGGATTATAGGACACAAGGGCCGTGTATTTAATTAGTCAAACAAAGGGAAAGGGCCTCTCATATGGGAATTTCTTTGCTAATATCATAATAAGTACCCTTGGTCTCTCCATCCTAAATCTATTTACAGTTCGACCATTAGTCAAACAAAGGGAAAGGGCCTTTCATATGGAAATTAGTTTGCTAATATCATAACAAATACCTTCAATCTGTTTACATTTCGACCACAAATGTTTCTTTTTATAAACTTTATATATGAGTTATAAGTTTATGCTTCTTCAAAATATAGTGCCAATTTTTCTTTTTTCCTTTTAAAGAGATGAAAGGGAATTGATATGTTGTTGAAGTTATAATTATGTGAAATCAGAATTCTTTTAACCCGTCTCCGATGTTATTGGTAACCAAAATAGAATAAGAGAAAAAATAAAGAATAAATATACATCAATTTAACATAGTTTGGTAAACCTAATAACCTAATAAAGAATAAATATATATTTCCTCTAGTTCACATATTAAAACAAATAGATAATTAATAGCTTATAATTTAAATCTAAACCTAATAACCAAACCCTATACCCTTGTACATCCTCTTTAAACTCGCACACTAATGTTTAAAAAAAAAATAAAAAACACTATATTTTTCTTTAGCTCTCCATTTTAACTCTTTAGTTCTCTATTTCTTTTAAATACTACTTTATACATGTATTTATAATAATAGAGTGATAATATATTCTTTTTCTTTAGAGGGACAATTTTATGTCCAATTCAATTTCCATTACAGTAATTTTGGTCAGTAATTATACCAAAAAAATACTATCAATCCTGCAACAAAACCACTCATCTCAAGTAATGCAAGGGAATTCGTCCATAAGATACTGAAAATCGTAGAAGAAAAGTTGCAATGCTGCTCCCTTCCGTGACTTCTTGGGTTTAAACCTTATGGTCACCTATTTCAATACATAATTGTAGACGTAAAAATCTACTTGTACGGAAAGAGAGGGTCTGATCCCGTGAGGTTGAGGCCACTAGCGATCTGTTGTACCTGCACACGTAAAGAAACACACGCGTGAAGCGAACGGGAAACACCGGTGTGGTGTTTGCCGTAGGCACTCCGACGCTCAAGTCAGCTAGGCTGAAGGGAAAATATAGTGAGGGCTAGGGAATAAGAGATTACCGGAAGTCTAGTCGGGGATTGTAACTACGGTGATGATATGAAGCTCTCAAGTCAGAGCTTTAGGTGTGAAGCTTGAATGTCCTTGTGAGAGGGTTTGCCTCTGCTTATATAGCCGCTGTCTGGTCTCCTAATCCTGGTGGAAGTAGGAATCCTAGTATGACACTAATGCAAACCCTAGAAGAATTAGGGCCGTGGTGAGTTGTCTTACCAGTGTCCAAATAGGAAGGTGATCTTGATTAGGAGAATTAACTGAGTAGGAAAGTGATCAGGAATAGGAAGGCGACCTTGAATAGGAGGTTGATTAGGAGTAGGAAAGTACTCTGAAGGGGCTGTGGGCTCTGGATTCGCCCATGGACCTAGGAAATGGACTAGGTTTAAGAGGCTCGTGCCCGCGTGGTTTGGGTCGGCTATACCTCATGTCAAAATAAGACTAATCTGGCTTGGGCCTCTGTAGGACTGGGCCTAGTCTTTCTTCACTAGTGGTCCTATTTCCCTATTTGGGCCAAGGACGATTTTTGGCCCTAACAGTTTGTCCCCCACTCTCTGAGTTGAGAGTATCTTAAGTCAGAGAGTAGGTTGCGCTCAAGGCGAGCTCGGTCTTTCCTCATGGACGAACGATCATTGGAGTGAATGATCTGACCACCGTAGGTGATCCTTGATTGGACGTCGTTCGGTATCCACTCTCGACCCAAAGTATGCCATCATTGCAAGGTGCCTGATCGGTTCGGCGAGCTGAAGAGCAGAGAGCCAGATGTGGTCGTTCGGTACATCCGCACGACTAACAAGGAGACCGTTAAGAGGCACTCATTCGTCATGTCGGATCGGACAGGTTCAGGAAATTTACTAAAAAGCTTTATTCGGTCGGGACAATGGGACGACTAAGTGGGTGAGGCATCTCGATTACACGTTGTCCACTCGTTCTCCACGGATAGATGATTGGATGAGATTCTCAATTTTGTTCTGAAGATGGCTCGACCCGGACCATTCCAAACTCATGCATCGGTCGACCAGGCCTTTTGGGCCGGCTGAGTATGGGATGCTTGGGAGGGCTCCCGAACTGAAAAGCTGAGTCGGTCGAGTGGCCAAGTGAATTTGTTGGCGCGTGAAGATTGGATGCGTGTCGGACTCATTCCGGGTGGTACAAACTGAGTCAGTCGGAAGAACCGGGCGATCAAGACGCAGCCTCCATACGGAACAACGGTTTCCCAGGTGATTCGGATCGCTGCCACATGTATGGTGGCGATCGGTCTATCGTTTCGAGAGCGGGAAAACGAAGAGACTTCTGACAACTGACCAATCATAGCCTGCCACGTGTTTACATTTTCTTTACAAAATTGGGGAGCAGACTGTTCATCTTCCATTCGCGTTGGTTTTGTGTTTTCATCCGAAAAATTTCTCTCCCTTTTTTCTTCGTTTTTGTCCCAGTTTCTTGAGCGAAGGTGGTCTTTTCTGCAATCATCCAAGGTAACTTTTTCTTTTTAGGCCGTTTTGCTGTTCTATAGGTAGATTTCTTTTTTGTTGAAACTTTTGGGAGGTGGGATGAAGGTGTTTTGAACTTTTAAGCGGGTTTAAACTGGGTTTCCAAGTGTTTTGGTGTTAGGATTTTGGAGAATAGGCGTAGGTTTGAATCTTCCGGTGGATATCCGGGAAGAATCTGGCAGTTTCGAATATTTTCTGGGTTTTTTGGATTGGGCCTGGAAGACGAAGTCAACTTAGGCGTTGTTTGGGTCGGTCAGTACGTCTGACCGAGTGGTGAGGAGGCGTGTGGCGTGGACTAGGCAATCGGTCATCCAGGGCGAGTGTGAGTCTTTAGGTTGAGGGATTGGTGATCGGGGTGAGTAGGTAACTAGGGTTGAGATTAGAGGTGGATCGGTCGTTTGGGGCGAGCGAGTTGGTGCTCTACTGATTTTGGCTTAGGGTCGGTAGGTTGGAGGGATCGACCAAGGGTAGGGGCTATCTCGTTGTCGGGCAGGTCGACTAGTAGCGAGCTTTTTCTTTCGGTCGGTCGGTTAGG